AGAAAACCCCTTGCCAGAGCTTGTATAGACACAATGCTCTCTCTCATCTCCAGGAAATGTTGCCGAATGCTGTCCCCTAACATTTTGTTCCTGTAATGCCGCTGCAGAGTCAAAACTGCAGCCTTCTTCCTGTTGTAGGACAGGTATTCTTTTCTTCCCCTGAATTTTGCTTGTAGGATGGTTGCTGCCCTTTGTCTCTTTTTGAGGTGCTTTCTGGTTAAATAACCTTTAGTGGCGGCTTGCAGGATAATTACTGAATTTCTTGTTATTTTGTACTCATCTTGAATCTGTTTTCCCAGCCTATATGCACGATAGTACCGCTGAATTGTGAGTGATGCCCTCTTCTGGGCCAGGTATGCTTTGTGGGCTAGCTGGCACCGGAACCAAGTCTGTATTCTGATACAGGCAGCACGTTCTAGGTTATAATCTCGGTGTTGGAGCCATCCTCGTACCTGGAAAGAAATGTAAAAGGTGATGTGCTTAAAATTACTTTAATTATCACTGTAGAAGCTATTGAATTATATATGGTTGTGAAGGATTTCAGCAAGATAACTATCCGAGACTTAATGCTTTTTGGGGATCAGTAAACTATATGTTTCACATATTACTGCTCCTAAAGTAGCACATACTCAGATATTCCTCTGCAAACCTAAAATGTACACAGTATTTGTTAATATATATATATATATATATATATATATATATATATATATATATATATATTATATATATATATATATATATATATATATCCATTGCCAAATATACCTCATGTAGGCTATTGTTAAAAGTCTACCATAAACTGCAAGAATAAATAGTCATTTAGAATACCATATCTACAATTCTATGTGTATTAAGATTTCAAAATAATAAGAATGTTCTGAGTTAACTTCTTATATAAATGGTTCTAAAATAATACCTAAAAAAATTCATCAGCTACAATCAATCAATACATGCACATGCTGAAACATCCACATCTACATAATACAAGCACTTAACTCTCTGATACATACCGTTGCCTGGATAAGTATAGCTGCTTTTTTCTTGGCTGCAAACATTTCTTGGTCAGCTTTCATGGCCAGATATGCTCGAGTGTATTTCTGAAGAACCAAAACAGCAGATCTTTCGTGTTGATACTGTGTCTGTTGCTTACGCATTCTATATTTTGACTGTAATTTAATGGTGGCAGTCTTCAGGGTGTGGAACTCTTTCTGTTCCTTTCTGCCCAAAGCAATGGCTCGGTATTGCTGCTGAATAACCAAGGCAGCTCTTTGTTTCATGGCATACTGCCTCTTGGCTTTTAGCATTCTTATCCAAGCTTGAATGGCAATACAGGCCTTCTTTCTCCTCTGATACTCATTGTAAGCTTCACAACCAAGGTTCCAGGCTCTGTAACGCTGTTGGATTGTGATGGCAGCAAGACGTTTTTGAGAATAACTGCTTCTTGCTTGATACATTCTCCAGTAATTCTGTATCTTAATGCTTGCTTTCCTCTGGGTCATGTACTGACAGAGCACATCCCTTCCTAGTCTGTAAGCTTTGTAAGCATTCTGAATTTTAACAGCAGCTTCTTTCTTTCTTTGGTAAAGCCTCTGTTCCCGCTTCATTCGATACATGCTCTGAACCATAATACAAGCTGCTCTCTTTTTCTGTAAGTTTCGTCTAAGTTGGAACCCTCTGATGTGTGCCTGAAGCAGAACAGTGGCCTGCTTTAGTTCCTGGTACTGTTGTTGTACCTTTCTTGCCTCTAACCATGCATGGGCATATCTCTGAATAACTCTCACATTCTTTTTCAGATGCTGGTATTTCCTGAAGGCTATAAAACCTCTTGCATACTTTTGAATGGTGACTGCAGCACTACATTTAACAAGATACTGCTTCCTACAGTAGTACATCCTCACCTGTGACTGTATCTTGACAGCAGCAGATCTCATAGCACTATATGCATTCAGCTGCTCTTCCATCTGTTTTTTCGCACGATATTTTTGCTGGACCATTACAGCAGCAGCTCTCAGCTTCATGTACTGTTGGTGTTTTAGCCATCCTCGAACAGCAGCTTGAATCTTTGTGACAGACTTCAGCGTTTTCAAGTAATATATCCTTTCCTGATATGCTCTGAAGACAGACTGGATGATAATTGCACTAGACCTTAACCTCCTATATCGTTCATTTTCTTGCTTCATAGCTTTTGTTGCAGTATACCATCTCTGAATAGAGATTGCAGCATTTACCTCCTTGTTGTATTGTCTTCTTACCTTCCAGCCTCTAAACAAAGCCTGAATAAGTACAGCAGATCTCTTTACAAGCAAGAATTCTTCACGAACTACTTTCCCTCTCCAATTGGCCTGAACAATAACAGCAGCAGTCTTTATACTCTGATAATATACTTGATCTTGCTTCATGTACAACCATGCTCTTATGTGTGTCTGTAATGATATTACTGCATTCCTTTTCTTTCTGTAACTTTCTCTTTCCTTCCACATGCGATAAGCAGCCTGAA